ATCATCATCTTCTTCTTCTTCTTCATCATCATCATCATCATCATCATCATCATCATTATTATTCATACCAACGACAGTTTGGCAGGCCAGCCGCGCCCATCGTGGCCTGACTAACAGGGTTGTAATGTATTTCAGATTGGTGAGCTTCGCATTGCACTGATTACCTTGTAAATGGTTATTGGCTTTACTCAAATGTATCCAAGTACAGCCGTTCAATAGATAACATTGCGTGTGGCTCAAACTAAAAGTAGACTTCATGTACGAGGGTATGACGCATGCCACAGTTCTCAATTGTGCATCAATTCCTACTTTATTCAGACGGTGTCCACGTAATAGGCAACACTGATAAACAGAGTTTGTGTCCCTCTAAAACTTTCTCCTTCTCGCTTCTCAACATTCCCTTAAACCTTATTGCATTTTGTAAAGTGTGATTAGTGGAATGGTGAAGTGGGCACTTCTTTGTTCCATCACTGGCTCACCTCTAAAATCTTTTCAAGAAAGTGCCTTCCCTGTTGTCTCAACTCGACTCAACAGACATGGTGTTGAANTGGCGTTGAACTTCATCAGGTCCTGTTTAAGCCTACACCCTTTGTTTACACGTTGCTTATGTACAAAAATATCTGACGTGTTTCTATAAATGAGCTCGAATTTGTCCCATACCTGATAAAGCACAACAGTCACTCCAGACGTGAAATCTCATGTTTCAAAACAACTTATATTAAATTCTACGTATTTCGCCAATGTTACAGACCTTACTTAGCTTGCCACAGCAAGGTGGCGGATCGCAAAAAAACAGTCTGTTTTCACAAACATTAATTCATTACAGTCAAACCAAGTGAAGCGTACCCCTCAAGATTACATTAATGAATTGATTTTTTGAATATTGAACCTGCTAGTCGTTTCAAGGATACAAAATTGAATTGATTATTAGAATATGGAATCCACTAGTCGTTTCGGGAATGCAACAATGAATTGATTCTTTGAATTCGGAACCAGTCAGCCGTATTCTTGGAACGAGCGAGAGAGTTCAATATTTGAATAATCAATTCATTATGTAATCTTGAGGGGTAAGCGTCACTTGGTTTGATTGTAAGTGTATGCAAATCAACCATAGTTGATAGAGGGGAACGGTTGTGAAGCCCGGTAAACATCAAAGGAGCAAACAAAGATGCCAAGATTTATGTTGAGAGGTCCACGACCGTGCACAATCTTTTGTTTTGCGCTCATACACCGTGATGCATGAGTTACGTAATCAAAACATTAGTTACGTAATCACAAACATATTGGTTAGTTCCTCGGTCAGTAGTAAATAACTGTCTTGTTTTGTGCACGTTCAAGGCCAAAAAAGAGAACAAAAACATTCGACAAAAAACTTTGTCGAGTCTCATAACCATTGCCCTCTAGTAACTATGAGTCAACCCAGTAGCCCTTTAATTGCACGGTCAGCTTTATTATTTACATAACATTGTAATTCAACATAGATGCGATGCAATATTTAGGGCTGAAACTGCAAAATCGCCGGAAACTGCCTGACTACCGGCCTGTTCATGAAGCATGTAACAAATTTTGAACAATTCTTTTTGTTTCATTGCGGAAAGAAAATATGTCTACCCTCGAGGGTAGACATATTTGAATAACGAATTGGCGCTTTAGAGTCATCGAAACATAAAAGAAAGAACACCCACGAATTTGCCTTTCTATCTCAAGTCTACAAGATTTGAAATGGAACGGAAATTTCTTTGAAAATCACTGACCCCAACTAACCCAATCACTGATGACCACTTGTGGGCACAACTAATTGCATTCCAAACTGTCAGTGTCAGTGATCACAACTTGATCTTCGACCAATCTTTATTGCCAACAACGTGCTTTATTGGTTATGCATATACTGACAGTTATTATGCTGCTCAAAGATGTATTAGCGCGCAAACAGTCTGCTCCCAAACTCTGAGAGTCCGATACCAAAGGTAAGTCTCATTCAGGATTCTCTTGAGCGTCATCCGGGGCCCGTTTCTCGAAAGCCCCGCAATCTTTTCGGGCCCGAAAAGCCATTTTTAGTTAATCGGTGTTTAAAGACAGGGAGGTGTACACGGCTGAAATTTCTTGTATGAAGAGAACCTCTGCTCGTATTAAGAACATATGTATAAAACAGCTCTCTAGTCAAAAGGTTTGAGATTTAATTACGGCTTTTCGGCTGGGAAAACTTTTCGGGACCTTCGAGAAACGACCCCCTGATCTTTACAATGAAATTACGTAATATGTGCGATGCCCAGTTAAGCATTTATTAGTAGTCTGTGCGTTCTCTGTCCGTAGACTTCTGAGATTTAGCTGTTAGGACTGTTAAGTTTTCGTTTGGTAAGAATTAACTTTCGGTGACAGGTACCGGTTTGCTTTTCCGGCTACTGTTCGGAGATGCCTCACGACAGACCTAATTATGGTAGAGTTGGTCCTGAAGTTGAAACGAAGCGAGTAAGCGGGATTTTCGGAGTTATCGTCTAGTGTTTGTTCGATTACGGAGGCTAGACTATTTGACCTTAAACGTGAATAGTCACAAATAAACCTTTTATTGATTTAGCTGGTTGGTACTTGTCTTATTAACAAAAAAAAACAAACAAAAAAATAGGAAATATCATCCACAGAAATCAACGGTGTAATTCAAATATTTGTCTACTTGTATGATTGACTAGCTGATCGGATGGGATCAGTTTTCAGTAAGGATAGCCTTATTTTTTCACGCAATTTCACGCAATTCTTTGGCAAAATTTCCAGAATGAAGGTATCAAAATCGGAGATATCGCCGATTGACAACTCCTAACGGGCAAACTTCTTAAATATTCATTTATTGGCATGAATTAATACGTGAACTGCATGCCAACGAATCTACATACTGACACATAAGCATCTTACAATAAAAACGTGAAAAATTATATTTAGAATCACTGTGCCTGATATGCTTAGTCCAATGGTTGCCATTCTCCTATCCATATTTCTGACACTCACTCCAAGCATACCATAGCGCTTATATCCTTCGCTTTGATATCTTCTTTAATAAACAATGAGAGTTATTCTTTACTTTTGACAAATGATGGCCTCCCCGCATT